GAAAAGTAATGTAGAAAAGAAATCTGCTGGGTATAGTCAGCCACTTCTGTGGCCACAAAATTGTTTTATCAATATTTATACATGGTAATCACATTCAGAACGTGTAAACTTGGGCTTTCACTAAAAGTGCCCAATTGTTGCCAGTTAACCAACATGAGTTAAGTCTAATGTGACCAATGATCTATTTAATTACTATTTTTCTCTCAATTTCTGTCTTACCTATACATTGGCCAGTGGTTTTCTCACCACCCTAAGGATTACTACAACAGCCTCCTGGCTGTTCTGCCTTATGTCTTTCTTGCCTCTTAACAATTCATGTTTCACACTGAAGACAAGGAATCTTTATAGAATTTTAATTCCATCATCTGACTCCTCTGCTCAAAAATCTCCAAAATCACATCCCCTTAGAATAAAATTCAAACTCTTTACTGTGGGCTACCAAACCCTACAAAATCTTGTCTCTAGGTCCTGTTCTACTTTCTTTTCTGTATTATTCTCACTTTTTTTGCATGATAACCATTTTTCTGTGCCTTGCAAAGCAGGTTAAACCTGTTAAACACATTCCTACCTCAAGCGTGTTTTCCACTCAGGGCCTTTTCCTTTTCTGTCTCCCCTTAGCATAATAATTTCCTACTGTAACCACATTTCCTCTTTTCTGACATCCATTTAACTCTCTGTTCAAATATTACCTTATCACCAAGGAACTCTGTGACTGTTATCAATAAAATAACATGATTCAGCCAGCTATGGTGGTGTAGAAGTAACACCATGTTCTGCAATGATAAGACCATATGGGAAGGTCCTAGGTTCATGGCCCGTGGTCTCCCTATACACCCAGCTGTGTATGCTTGTCCCGATGACTCTGACTCACAGAGGCTGGGGATGGATTATGATATGGGAACAATGTTAGGGTGCCTGTTTTTTTTTTTTTTTTTTCTTCTCTCTCTCTTCAAGAAAGAAGTGAATAAATAAATTAAAAATAATAATAAATAACGTACTTTGCTATTCCTTTTCTTCTATACTGCGTTATTTCCATCTTAGTTTATATCACTCATATTAGCTCTGTGAGTCCAGGATTTTTTTTTTCATTACAAATGAAATGATACACATATTTGTTGAATCAGTGAAGGAGTGAAAAATAAATAAATGGTTAAAACCTCTTCCTCTCAAAGAGTCATTTGCAAAAGAAGCACCATAATATAAATAAGCACTATACATTTTCATGTCCCCAAGAATAATCAATAGAGCCTTCAGGTTCAAACTTATAATTTTAGCCACAAAAATAAATCTACATGAGACTCCTTTATCTACATTGATTATGCCACAGCCCATAGCTCTTCAGCTCTCTACCACACAAAATGCTCGTAGGACCTTTGTATATGTATATTGGTATTAATTTTTTATTTACCCTTTATTCATGTTTCTAGATAACACTGTAGGAAACTTTCCATTTGCAGTGTCCATCATAGCAGTCCCTGAACCCCTTGATAATAGCATCATGTCTCTTTAACTTGTGTGGCAAAGCACCTAGCGTTGAGCCATATGCACGCTGTACTAACACAGAAAAGCCTTTTAGTGATGAATTAGATTTTTATTTCGGTTCATTACGCCTGGGTTTTCAGGCAATGTTCCGGATTTCATGCTTTTGTTTGTAATGAGTCATGGCCCTCTTGACAAACAAGAGAGTAATTAAACTAACCAGGTTATCAATAGAAACTTGTGATGGATCTCCTGTTGCCTATAGTTATTTCATCTTTAATAATAGTTGAATATCATAAAAGATTACAGTCTGTTAGCATGACAAGGAGAGAGAGATCAAAGCCTGTGAGAACAGTGAAAATATAATCTTATCTTTACCTCTGGAAAGCAGAACAGTGACACGATAATGGCCAAATAGTGGAACTTTATTTAGAGGTGTCTTTTGTATATTATACTGTATTTTACAGGGTCATGTGAATCCTGACTTAATAAACAAAGTTAAACAATTATAAGTGAGGGCTGGCTCAGTGGCACAGTGTAATGCCCTGTTCGAGCAAAGCTGTATCCATATGGAAGATCCTGAGTTTGACGGGTACACACCCAGTGCACGCCCACTGTCCTGATTAGCGAGGAAAGCTGTAGAAAATTGCAGCATGAGAGTGTTGAGGGTGCTTGTCTTTCTCTTTCTTTTTTCTCTATTTTTCTCTCTGTGTGTCTCTTACTCTCAGTTCCCTCTCAACATAAACTGTAAAGAGTTATAAAAGGATACCTTACATATACATAGTCTGTGCTTGTATGTATATGGGTATAGATATATTTAACGCTGTGCATGTATAACATCTTGTTATTCAAACTTTTGTGATAAACGTTTTGCATTATTTTTTACCGTTATTAGGAAGTGCCATAATAAAAATGCTTCTTCACAATTTGTCTCTAGAACTATAAGCTGAAACTTAACTACTAAGTATAAAACTCTACAGAAAAATAGAGGTGCTATAATTTCAAAATGAAGTATGACTCAACAAAAAATGATGAATTTACTACCATATTTTAAAAAGGAAAGGCAATGTTTTATTGTATTATTGGTTGTAACTTTCATATTCATTACATATTGAAAAAAATTGAATTGTATACTTTTCAATTGCTTTCCAAAAAATCTCAGATATATCAACTCAGGAACTAGTGTTTGCATTTTCAAGATTCCAGTTGTACTGAACTCTTTCCTATGGTGTTATTTTAAAAATATACATGTTAAAAAGCTTAGTAGAAAAAAACAATACTTATGAAAAGACTCAGGCATGCAACTCCTAATGTTTCCCTCCAAAATCCTATTTAGTTTTCTCTAACTCAATCACTAGGTGTTCTAACCGTTCATTACTTAAAGCAAATAAAGTAAAATTTTATTCTTTACTTTTTTATTTTATTATTTTTTTTTTAAGACATGGTCTTACTATGTCCCTCTGCCTCAGCCTCCCAGCTATTATTACAGGCACATGGTGGCTGTAGGTTTATTTATTTGTTTCTTCTGAGAGAGAGAGTGACGGATCCCCAACAAGGTCTTTACAACTTGTTTACTTCCAACCTCAGTCAGCCTGGCTCATGAGCATGTATGTCCACTCAGCATGTATAGGGAGGCCCTAGGATGCAAACCTGGGACCTTCCAATGTGGGTCTGGTTGCATTACTGTTGCACTACCATCTGGTCCCAAGGCACTTTTTTTTTTTTCAGACAATGTGTCAAGATTCTGCTCAGGTCACCCCAAGCTCAAGATCTTCCTCCTTAACCCTTCCAATGGAATGCCTGCCATGGACCTGCCCTTTATGTAGAGTAGGAATCAAACCCCGGCCTGTCAAGGGGCCCCCGACCAGCAGAGCACAAATACATTCACTGCTATAACTGGGCCTCTGTCATTTAGCCTTTTTTTTACATCCCACTTCAATTTGTCAAGAAACCCTTTTGCTTCATTTTCACAATAACCCCAGACTCAATTGCTGTAGTGTTTGCTTACTATGGGGTTTCCCACCCAGTACCTGTGCTTTCATCCTAGCCTCACTATGGCCTTTTCTCAGCATAGCAGCAAGAATGAGCCTTGAAAACAGAGATTAGGTTGTACCCCTCACTGATAATGGCTCATCATTTCACTCACAATTAAAGTAAAATCTTTAAAATGGCCCTGGGTCCAACACAGCCTTCCATCCTTTGCTTCTCTGACTCTATCTCCTGCCATTTCCCCTTCTTTTTCTTTGCCTCCACTGCCCTGATAACCTTGCTATTTCTCAAGCAGACTGGGCTTACTTCTGCCTCAGGGCCTGACTGCAAGCCATTCTGTCTTCCTGGAAGGCTTTTTCTCCAGCTAGTCACATAGATAACGCACTCATCTACATCTAATCTTTTTATAAATCCTACCTTCTCCATGAGGTCATTCTCAGATAATTCTATATAAAATTGCACGTCATTGCTTTCATTCCTCTTACCTTGCTGCTGTAAGGTTTTAGATTTTTGTTTGTTTTATTTCTGTTACTATATGGCTTATCGCCTTCTAACATTTTATTTAACGTACTTATTCTTTATATTTACTGCTCATACTCTGACTCCTCATGCCCCATACCATCTAGAATGTAAGCTTCATTATGTTGAGTAATTTGATTGCTCTGTGCTTTGAGATGTGCCCAGCACACATCAATGCGTCAGTAACTGAGGAATGAATGAAGAAAAGGCTGGCTATGCAACAAAAAAGCAGTTGGAGCCTCACTCTGTGGTGGGCACTGCACTCTGTCAATATGCAAAAACGAATCAGATGGGTACCCTGCCTTCAGAAAGCTAAGGAGAAAGCCTGGCAGACACAGAAATTTAGATAAAGTACTCAGAAAAGGGGAATCTAATTCCAGGTAGCACCATAGAGAAGACTATGAAGACAATAACACTTGAAATGGGCCTTGAATCTGTGGAAATGGGGAATAACAGCAACCAGGTGGAAGAAACCACATAATAAAATCACTAAATTGCTAGGACAGAGAATAGGCAGGGAAAAACATAGTCAACATGCTCTGCGACTTAGACAAATTATTTAGCCTCTCTGAACTTCAGTTTTCACATAACTTTGGGGTAATACCATCTGGCTTAGAGGATTACTGTGAGGAATTCATGAACATAAACCACCCAGCCCAGTAACTGGTTCCTGGTGATCTCTGCATAAGTGAGAGCTATTATTGGTGAATAGTTTGACTACGGTACAGATGAAATATTCCCCTCACCCACCCATTTTTCCAATAGAAAGCAAGGCTCAAACATATTGCGTTTACTCTGCACTCCCTGAGAACATCCATCTATTGTCCAACTTGAAAAAGGAAGGTGAAAATGACTAGTCTTGTATTTGAAGCATAACACACTGAAAATGTGATGCATTGGCCTATCAGGCATAAGATTGCTTTGAATATAGAAGGAATAAAAATATAGGTGTGTTATAGTTCTGCTGAATATTTTTGGAAGTTACCCACCAGGATTTTTTGTTTCTTTTTCAGTTGCTCCTACGATTCAGGAAATTAAGTCTGGCACCGTGACCCCTGGGCGCAGTGGATTGATACGATGTGAAGGTGCAGGTGTGCCATTTCCGGCCTTTGAATGGTATAAAGGAGAGAAGAAGTAAGGACTTGTGATTATTACTGTGTTTCAAGCATTTTGAGCTAATGTGTTTGTTGTTTCAGATACTTACTTTAAGCAATTTCTTTAAATGGCTTGAATGATTCTCAGTAGCCTCTTTGCAGGCAGGCAAACCAAAGGGGCTCATGTGGAAGGGACTAGTATCTAATAACATCCAGAAGAAATATCCACTTGGGTTATATGATCACAAACATGTCTGCAACTTCCCCATTTCATCTCCTCCCTTCCCTTCTGAGCCAGCACACCATTGGTCTCGCTGGCAACCATGTTTACTTGGGAAGAAAACCAGCTCTTAAAGGACTTGGGCACAGCTTCCACAGAACATTTCAAAAGAGATAGGAGCTGCTGGCCCGGTATGGCTTCCTTAATACACCTCAAACCTGCCTTCCTCTCTCCAACATAGTTTAACACTGTGTTTCAGATATTCTATCACTAAAGGGGCTGTAGAGAAGATAAAAATACATGGTAAAGGACTAATCAAGGAAATTACTCTAACTTGAGTTCCTTGAGAAGTCCCAGAGGCCTTGGCAAGAGCTATCAAATAAGAAAAGACAGAATTTATCAGCCTTCTCTGTATTTTCTGCTAGCACATTCATTCAGACCTCTTCATCTGCACTTACAAACCATCAAAAGCACAGGACCCCTGTGGGTTAACTAGATGTGCAGAGGGAAGGGTATTATCTATACCAAATATCTTTTTACTTCAGAACTAGGAAGGGATATAGTCAAGAATATGTTAAGGTGAATCATATGAAATGGCAGACTTAATCAAAAAAGTCAAATATTGGCAATTCCATGTCATATAAGTTCAACTTATATGTGTAGAATTTACTTCAAGTCATGGCTCATAAGTAATTACAGCTAAATGCCAGAAGAGAAAACTGAGGAAATTTCATAAAAATTTAGATATTGCCACAATGAATAAGAATGATAGTGATGCAAGCATGTACTTTGTTTCTGAAACTGGCATTAAAAGATTTATGGAAGACAATGTTCCTCTTTAACATCGGTTTTAATAAGAAAGGCTACTTTTAATAGCTACCTCCTCTTTTCTGAATAACTAAATTGTGATTTTACTTTAAAATTTTGCAACTTTTTTGTTTTTGCCATAGGGCATATATGCTTGCCAAAGAGAGACAGAGAGAGGGAAAGTGAGAAATCACCCTCCACCCCACCCCCACCCCCACCCCCCACAGGATG